ATATATATATATATATATATATATATATATAATGATATGTTGTATATTTATATTGTATGTAAAATTATTAATTTTTGTATTATTTATGCAGGAATATATTTATGCATTTAAATAATTTCAAATCATTATTATAGTTACACTTTACAAAGCAGTTGTTTACAGTAATATTAGTTAACACATTAGGCATCATAAATAACAATATTATTTTTGCTGCATTTATTCACCTTGACAATTTTATAAATATACAATTGATCATTTATCATTATACAACTTTTGATGTTAAAAATGTCTTAATGTAAAAAATAACAAGATAAAGTGCTAGAAGTGATCAAATGCTAATACGTAGCTATTGTTTCTTGTTATTTCATGTGCGATAACTGTTAACAAGCATAAACTTATTGTAAACTAAGTCGTCGTACATTTCTATGCATATTTTGTGCATAGAAAATGTTCAGCTCAGAAAAGTTTAAAAAATAATGTAAATTTAAAACAGAAATAGACTATTTTAATTGCGAATAAATGCCTTTTCATCTATATTTATAGCCACAATATGCACATACACCGTCTTGAAATATTTAGCTTGCTATGTTTATCTTCATAGACTCTATAGACATTTTAACTATGAAATGTCAAAAAGACCCTTTTCTAATTCCTACACACGTCAAGACTATAAGAAGTCATTTTTAATCTTGCATCGATCACTTTATAAAACAAAAGAAATGAACTTTTAAATCAACAATACCTCTCTCCAGCAGGGCTCCTGGTGTCTGTCGTGCAGAGCTGCGCGTCAGTGCTTCATCATCTTCATCATCATCTGACGTAAACGCGTTAATTGCAGTGAAGAGGAGGAGATGTGCTTCAGTTGTCTGTGATGCTGTGAGTGAAACACATGTGGAGAGATGCAACAGAACAGAGATCATCGCGTCTGTCAAGGCGGGATCACGGAGGAAGCTTTTGAAATATTTCTTAAACATAACAAATTCAAACGTTTTCGGCTCTGACATATGTAAAGAGTATTACGCCATATTCTCTGGGGGAAAAATGATTATTCCGCTAATAATAATAATAATATAAAAAATAATAAAAAATATCAAATTAATAGAAGTCGTTTATATTGTTTAACAAATACGTTATTTACAAGCAAAAGGTTTCACAGAGTTATTTTAGCTATATAATGTACGCGTTATTAATACACTTATAACGTATCGCGAACGTGCTAGTCAAGATTAAAAAATAGTTCAAAACGATAATCAGTTAAAAAAAAACATTCTCTTAAAAACGCATCTCAAGACTTTCTGTTCAATTCATTCGTTTTCCATCTAGTTGTATTCTCCACGTAGAAGGCAAAAAGGCGTTCCAGCTTATATGTTTCACTCTCAAAATGTTACACTTAAATGTTGTTTTGAATAAAAAGCAGAGCGTTCGGTTCGTTTGTGTTTTGATATCGAACAGCACTAGCATTTAACACGTCTCTCACGTTTTTAGCTTCGCTTTATTTGCGTCCATCCGGGCCGCCGTAGGAACGCTGCAGGTTTTTCCATCATGGCTGCGTACATCTCTCACCCTGCGCTGTCCTCCTTATGCAAAATAAACTGTAATATTAATGGAATATACAGCTTAATTTCATTCAGCAGGAGGATTTCTATCTCCTCTGTCCTCTCAACAAGCGCCGTGACCACAGAATCAGGTAAAAATCGTATTATCTGTTATTTAATCTATTTACAGTATTACGGAGAGCTACAAAATTATTACTATTATTATAGAGAAATTATGTCATTACATTACTAAAATGTAATGTTACATTTAACTAACAAAACTGGCATAATATTACCACCTTTTTGGACATGTACCATAGTACTACCATGGTATTCTTTGACTTACTAAGTAAATACAGTTGTAAATGAATATGATAATCGTTCAATACCTTGCATACATTGACGTACCATGGTATTATCAGTTGATACCGTCATTGTACCATCAAATTCAGGGTTAATTGCTGGTCTGGCATGTTGTATTTAACTAAATTGTTTCTTATGGCCTAATATTACCCCAGTATGACTTAAAAAAAAAAATAAAGTTACTTATTGAATGTGCACTTAAGTTCTGCACTCATCAAATGTCTGATTACAGAAGCTGCAGGCCGAGGTGTTCGGGGTCAGCGGAGGTCAAAGAGACAGGTTGTTATTACACTTTACCTCATCATACTCGTAATGCAGTTGGTCTGTGTTCTGATCTATCTTTATGAATCAGGTAAATAATATTATTGATAATAAAGCACGTTTGATTGCATGGCACAGGCTGGGGAGCCCAGGACCGAGCGGATGACTGTGGATCAGGACTGGACCGCAGTTTATCCCACTGCAGCGTCGTTCAAACCGTCCACCGTTCCTCTGCCGGTGCGGATGGGATATCCCGTGAAGAGAGGCGTACCGCCTGCCAAGAAGGGCAACCTGGAACTGATAAAGGTGATAAAGTCTAGCTATTTAAAAACAAAATTAAAACAAACTCAAGCAGAAGTGCAATGTACAATATTTATTTGTTATGTATTTATTTTGGGGGGTTTCTGCTGGTCTTAAAAAGTCTTAATTCGCCATTCCACAAATTAAGGCCTAAAAAGGTCTTAAATTGCAGCAGAAAGTCTTAAATTCATAAAGCCATGGCATTAAATGTTGCATGCACTGCACTGCACAATATTTTCCTCAATACTAATTTCAGCATCCTTAAATCAAGACACATTTGAGATGCAAATTGAACATATGTGACCCTGGAGCACAAAACCAGTCATAAGGGTCGATTTTTCAAAATTGAGATTTATACATCATCTGAAAGCTGAATAAATAACAAATGAAGTTCTTAGCAATGTATATTACTAATCAAAAATTAAGTTTTTATATATTTACGGTAGGAAATTTACAAAATATCTTCATGGAACATGATCTTTACTTAATATCCTAATGATTTTTGGCATAAAAGAAAAATGGATAATTTTGACCCATACAATGTATTGTTGGCTATTGCTACAAATATACCCCAGCGACTTAAGACTGCTTTTGTGCTCCAGGGTCACATATGAAGTCTTGTTTTTTGAGAAATTGAACACAATTAAGTGAGTTTATGCTTAAAACAAGAACAGTTGTATTTCAATAAGGTATGAAAACTTGTTTTCCCTTTTAATTAAGTTGATTTTTCAGAGTTCATTGGCAGATTTGTTCTTGTTTTAATCATAAACTCGCTGAGAAAACAAGATTTCTTATGTCATTTTTGTTCTCAAGTAAATGTCTTGATTTAAGAATCTTTAGACATTTGCACTGGAAGACAAGACAAAAATACAGATGAACACTTTTTTTGCCGTGTGATCTCAAGCTATAGTACAATTTATTTCCATATTCCAGTGTTTGAGCTAATTAAGCCCTTTTTTTGTAAAATGAATTGGAAAAATAATGGAGATCTTGTATTTTCAAACTTTGAAGTGTGGCTAATTGAGACCATATTGACATATTTTGTTCCATTCAAATTATTGCTTAATTTTAAATGTGCCTTCATAAAAACTGCAGAAACCCTGTTTGTGCATTATGATGTATATGGCAGAGCATATCTCTAAGGTCAGTTTGTAAGGATGTAGACCTAGCATGTCTCTTTGAACAGAAATTTTTAGAATTTGGAACATTTTTTTTTTCTGCAAAAATGGAAGCCCGTCTATATAGATTGTGGAAACCTTATTGTGAACTTTAAATAATGTTAACTGGACCTATTCAGCTCGTCTTTTGTTGCATATACATCAAAACGTGATATTTGTAATAAAACACTTTTTTTAATCACATGCTTTAATGTCTTTCAGATCCCAAACTTTTTACACTTAACCCCTGTTGCTATTAAAAAGCACTGTGAGGCCCTGAAGCGTGAGTTTTTTTCAGTTTTCAATAATGGACAGCAGCAAATGTTATGTGGCGCGCTAAATGAGAGAGAAAGGTTCGTAAATGTTTTCCCTGTTTAATTTGTCCAGAGTTCTGTACGGAGTGGCCGTCTGCCCTGGACTCGGATGAGAAGTGCATGAAGCATTTCCCAATCCAGGTGCAGAGTAAGGAATTCGTATCCGCTGGATTGTCGCTGCAAAACCCAGACGCGAGGATAGTGACACTGAAGGTACGTCTGTCAGTTTTGTTTATTACTTTCTGGAGCTTAAATGAATATTTTCCAAATTATGAAGTTGTTTTTGGATATGACGTCTTTGTTCAAAACAGCCCAGCATCCACCTAGAAACCAGAGCTAAACTGCGTATTCTGCTTTGTTTTCTTTCTGTGAAATAATCTGTTTGAATGGGCAGAAATTCATTGTGTGTGTGTTTGTGTGTGTAACCATTCAGTTTTTCATCATAATGTATTTAGAGTAAACTGCGTGTAAATGGCATGTCAAAGCAAAACAAACTGCGTGCGGTTAGTCGCTTTACACGTCAGTCATGGTCTCTTTCTGTCTAAGTTGGTGTTTTTGGACAGAATATGCTGCGGAAGGGACTAGACATTTACTGTCAAAGGTCCGGCTACTTAAAAAATGAAGCATGATGTGGACTGTTTTTCTGCCCATACTGTCTTCCTCTTAGCAGAATTATTTACACTTGAACATATTCAGTAGCACATTACGAAAGATACAGGAGAATTAAATGAACATAAACATTCCAGATAAGTAATAAGTCATTTTTGCTTGTCGTCAATGAAATGCTGTTCCTTGAAGACATGCATGATTAGGGATGTAACGATTACCGTTTTGACGATAAATCATGATAAAATTCCCCACGGTTAGTATTACCGTTTCATCTTTTAATTATCATTAAAACTGTATTAGATTACCGTGATTTGAACAGCTCGCCATAAATAAATACTGTCCAGCATAAAGCACAGTTTTAAGTTAACAGTCTCACGTGCGCACAGCAGCAGAGTAGTTTCGTTTTGAGTGAAAACAAGGTAGAAAAGCTGGGAGGTTTTAAAAGAGTGCTAAGGGAATTATACAAATGAATATATGAATGAATTAATTATATGAATGTACCTCTGAAGGTTCTGACTGTCTTCAGAAACGATTCGATGGCATTTTGTTTTCATCTTCGCTCCATGTAATACCTAAAAGGAAGTGTTCTTAATCGCAATACTGCTTTGTCCACGGAGGTTACGGGAAACAGCTCTAATTCAGCTTTTCCATAAGCGCCACCTGCTGTCAGCTAGTATATATAGACTTATATTTACATTCAGTCTGTATGCAGCAGTTTCATTGGTAATGTTATTGTTTTAGTGATTATGCAAACAAAAAGTAATTTTATTTGTTGTTTGTTGATGTTTAGATATAAAACTTGGTGAAGTGATTTATGTGTCTGTACTTTTTGAACATCTCCAGCACATTTTAACAATACCGTGATAATACTGATAACCGTGATCATTTTGGTCACTATAATCGTGATAAGAAATTTTCATGCCGTTACCGTTACATCCCTATGCGTGATGGCCTCATTGATTTTGCAGTATATTCTCTCTTTATTTATAATCTGAAATGTGCGATTTATCATAAATCTCTCACCATCTGGCTGAAAAACCAGGAATCGCCATCTGACGTTAATCCCGTTGGATTAGGGCTGGATGTGAAGGGGATCAAAGGGCAGATTTACGGGATGAGGGTCTCCGCCCCCACCCCACCCCAATCCTTTCTTGACTGAAACAGCCAGAAAACCCAGGATAAGTCAAGTGCTATTGCATTGTGCACCATTGTTTTGTTCTTTGAGAGAGAGAGCTTACTGTAGTGACGACACTGGGTTGTGTTTGTGCCGAGCCGGAGCGGAGCGGGATTTAAAGAGCAGAGTTGTGCATGATAGTTAGTGCTTTTTGAGGGTTTGTTGTTTGGAAGAATGAGATTTAATAGAAAGTATGTTCAAGATGACTGGAGGAACGCCAAGTGAAAATGATTGCTGGTGAAATGCTGAAGATTTGGATTAAGTGACTCATTGTCCTTTGATGAACTTTCAAGACTGGGAAATAAATATAAATAAACTTTAACAAAATGTTAAATGAATAGAAAATATTATAATAAAAACTTCAGTTGTCAGTTATAATATTTTATATTATTAATGATATTTTTATATTTTTTCTTTAAAATGTGTGTTACAGTTTTAGTGATTTTGTGTTTTTGTCCTTTTCATGACTATGTATGTTATTTTGTATCCCTATTAATATTTTTAATTTATTATAAATGTTTTAAATCAATTTTATTTAAAAAAAAATCTATAAGTGTATGTTTACATTTTTGTTTTCTGTTTATTTTAATTTTTGTTGAAGTTTTAATGATTTTGTTGTGTTTTTTGTCATTTTTATTTTCTATGCATGTTATTTTAGTATCGAGATACTATTATAGTTTTATTATTATTTTTAATAAAATATATTTTTATACATTTTATAAAACAATTTGATAAATATTGTAGTTTATTTTTGTATTTTCTGATTTCATTTTAATTTTTTAATTACATTTTTTTAGTGATTTTATGTGTTTTTGTTATTTGTCATATTTCATTCATTTTATTTCAGTTTTAGTTATTTTAGTACATCAAGAGATAAGCAGGGTCCTGATCATCCTATCAGTGTTTTTTACTATCTGACTATACTTTATTCCTCGTGTGTGTACTCTCAATAATGATGCATTTTTAACCATTTAAACATTCTCCTTAATTAAAAAAGGCAGTTCAAATGTGTTTCTGCCCTTTGCAGGTGAAGCTCTCCAGCTTGAATCTGGATGATCACGCCAGAAAGAAGATGATCAAACTCGGTGAAGAGCGATACTGCAAAGACACCGACACGCTCACCATAACCACAGACAGGTGCGTGATATGGATACATATTCTTCTGTGTTGTTTTATTCCTCATTTCTCTTACATTAAAATGATCTTTGTGTGTGTGTGTGATTGTAGTTGCCCGCTGAGACAGCAGAATTACGATTACGCCATGTACCTCCTCACCGTGCTTTACCACGAGTCCTGGGTGAGTCTGCAACCCTCCACATTACTTCAGAAACACTGACATTTGTATGCGATTTCAACTTTTTCCAGCAAGCTGAAATGAGATGCATTTTTGTGCTTTATTAGCTGTCATGTACAAATCTGTATAGGTTCAATGTTTAAGATCATATCTACTAGGGCTGTAAAAAAAAATTGGGAATTTCGAATATTCGTCGAATTTAAAATAAAAATCCACATTCGAATTCAAAAACGTTGCATTCGAATTTTAGGGTGCTTTCACACCTGGCTCGTTGTTTCGATCAAAATGAACGTGTGAATGTCTGTGGGTGAGCACGTCTTCGCCATTCAAAATAAAAAAGCGCACTTTTCCATTTTATAATGCCGTCTTGCTCTTCTTCCTGGTAGGTGCATTTTAAAAAATGTTTTCCCGATGAATCCTGGACTCCTGCTCAAAATGAAAAATTACCGTATTGTCCCGAATATAAGACGATGTTTTTTTCTTGGAAATACATCTGAAAAAACGAGGTCGTCTTATATTCAGGGTCTAGACTTTGACATGTCAATAATACACCCACAACACTAGGTGGCGCCAAAACCGCATAAAACGAGTGTG